AATGTTGCTGTTGCACAGCAAGGGGGAGCCACCCCTCTGAAAGAGCTTGAAAATCCCAAAAACCCTAAAAATAGCATAATCCAAAACCCAAAAAAGCTTGAGAGTGAAGGCGTAGGTCCTGTTGCTGAAGAGCAGGCCGCCGCATGTACCTGTAGTTGCTGTGAGCGTGACTGTACTGTTTGCAGCAAGTTGTTTGTGAAGCTTGACGCCGTGTGCTTTGCTGGGGTGTCGCCAGAGGCAACCGTTGAGCGTGAGGTGTCTGCCGAGCCAGACCTGTCCATGAGCGTACCTTGCTGTTGTGCGGTAGGGTGCGAGGAGTTCGAAGCACTTTCGTTTTTCGACAGTTTTCGGCCAACTAACCTTGAAGACACGCCAGACAGAGCGTGTGACGAGGAGGCCTATGAGCAAGAAGTTGAGCAGGCTCTGTTTTTAGAACCGCGCGAGCTTGAGGGTGATGCGTGGGCGCTTGAAGGGCTGCTTAACGAGCACAGTGTGGTGAGCAAGCTGATCGCCCATGAGCGACAAGAGTTCATCACAGCCTTTGAAGAGCATGGCCTAAAGGAGGCCTGTGAGGGCACCATCCTCTCTGAGCTGCTCGTGAAGCGTGAGGAGTTGGAGTGCGAGTTGCGTGCCTTGAGCTTGCGTGACGAAAGTGCGGTTGCTGTCTGCGTATGTGAAGCATCCTTTCCGGAAACTCTTGATGAGAACGCGGTTCAAGAGGACACGCCGGAGCAGGTGTTGCAGACCAAGATCGTACCGAACTGGCAAGTTCTTCAAAACTTCGAGGTGTGGCGACCGGCAGTCGTCGCAGAGTTCCTGTCCCTAACTGAGGACAAAGAGGCGCTTGAGCCTGTGACACAGGAGAGGCTGGACGAGTTGAGCGCGAAGGGTGTGAAGGTCACTGTCATTCCCTCAAAGCTTATCTGCAGTATCAAGGCCCCCAAAGGTAGGCTCAAAGCCCGAATAGTTGCTTGTGGTAACTTTCTTGGTACGTGCCTAGGAGAGTCAAAGGCCCAGAGGAAACATGACCTCTACTCTAGTGGAGTTGACCTTACTCACCTGCGCATGTTGTTAGCGTTTAGTTCACGTCGTGGAATGCCTGTTTGGTCTGTAGACATCAAGACTGCTTTCCTGAACTCAGAACTGTTACCTAGGAACCGTGAGGGTGCACAAGAAGCAGTAGCTCACGCTGGAACTGCTCACGCGGTCCGCCGGGACTCGCCGGAGAGCGAGAACCCAGCCGAGTACGTTGTCCTGAACCCTCCACGTATCCTAGTGTCTAAAGGAGTCGTGCCTGTAGGTACTTTCCTCATAGTGAAAAAGGCAGTTTACGGTCTTGACCAAAGTCCAAGAGACTGGGGTTTCACGAGAGACGCTGAACTTCGTACCCTGAAAATTCCCTGGAAAGGCAAGCTTTTGAAGCTAGTGCAGTCTCTTGCTGACGAGTGCGTTTGGTTGGTTGTTGACGTTGAGACAGTTCTCGTTCAGGACCCAGACTTTCCTGTGCCTGCGCAGTCCCAGGAAGTGCTCGGGTGGATCGCTGTCTACGTTGACGATATTCTTGGGTCAGGTATAGAGGATTTAGGCGAAGGGGTCATTAGGGCAGTTTGTGAAAAGTGGGCGTGTTCTGACCCAGAGAAGGTTGGAAGTGACCCGTCGAATCCAGTTCGCTTTTTAGGCTTAGAGCTGTACTGGTCAAAGGAGGGCAGGTTGGTTGTAACTCAAACCGCTTACGCAAAGGACTTGCTGAGTAGGTACACCAACGAGTTTGTCGCTTCTGTGCAGCCTCTTCCGCAAGGACTGGAGGACCCTGTTGCCGTCCCTAACCCCAACGCCGAAAGCATTAGGAAGTGCCAACAAGTTGTAGGTGAACTGCTGTGGTTGTCGATTCGTACTAGGGTTGACCTTTGCTACGCCGTTTCCAAGCTTGCTCAGTGGAGCACAAAGGACCCTGAGTTCACGTTTAGGCAGGCCCTGCAGGTTCTAGGTTACTTGTCTGTAACGCCGTCGGTAGGTCTTGTTTTCGCAGGCCCTAAGGACAGAGATGAGTACAACCTTGTAGGAACGCAAGACTACATGCACGTGCTGCAGGCATACACAGATGCGTCGCACGCACCAGGAGGTGATAGGTCTCATGAGTGCACCGTGCTTCGCTGTGAAGGGTCTACTGTTGGTTGGGTCAGCACAAGGCAGCCGTTTTGCACGCAGTCTTCATGTGAAGCAGAACTTCTCTCCACTTCTACTGGCAGTAACTATGCAGTTGCACATGTAGGACTTGCTCGTGAACTGTGGCAGCATGAACCAAGGGTGTTTGTGGCAAACGACAACCTGAGTGCTATCACAGTGATCAACAGCCCCACCGTTTCTTGGAGAACCCGTCACCTAAAAATTAGGGCTAGAGTCCTGAAAGAGAGGTCCGACATGAAATTGCTCGTTTTCGTGCATGTAGGTGGAGACAAGAATGGTGCTGATATAGGGACTAAGGCACTTGGCCCGCAGAGGATCAAGACGTTGATGGCAGTGCTGGGAATGTCCGCGCAGGATCCGCCTGCCGAAACCACTAAGGCAACATCCGTTCAGCACGTGAAGGATTGCCTAAGGGCAGTCATTTTGGCCTGTTGCCTGTGCAACGCCAGAGCCACTAAGGACCAGGACAGGACCCAGAGTAGTGAAGACTGGTCTCTTGTAGTGTTTGCTGTGCTAATCTCAATCACGTCCATTGCAGTTTGGGAAACATGTAAGGCTTGTTTGAGGGCAGTGTTTCGTCTTGCCGAGGAACTCCTCAGGCCGAGACTCCCAGCCCCAGAACCTGAAGAGCTTTTCATCCCTGAACAGCCCGAAGATGAGTATGAAGGCCCAGATCCTGATGAGGCCCCCGTTGCTCGTGTTAGGGATCCCGTTCCCGCAATGACCCCTGAAGAAGGCTTGAGGCGAAGGCCCCCGAGACCTGTAGCGCAGCAGGAGCCTGATGTAGAGCCTCAAGGCCGCCCTATCACATTTGCCTTTGCTGATGACGAGGTTCAGGTGTTTATGCCAGGCCCAGCAGATGCGCCAGCGAACCCGCCTGAGCCTGTCCACAGAGACGTAGTCGCCCAGCCTAGAGGCCCATTGCAAGCAAGGCCCCTACGGCTCAATCATCCACCTGATCCGCCCTATATCCTCAGGGTCGGCTGGCCCGCCCCCACGCTGCAGCCAACTATGAGGGAAATGCGGCTGACGAGGACATCATGGGGTGGAGATCTATCCACACTTTTTCAGGCACCGCCGCCAGAGTTTCGACAGGACTTCTTTCAGTACGATGCAGAGAGACCAACTGTCTTAGTACGCTGGCACGCTGTCGTGAGAGTTCGTCGCTTCGACCCAGCGCAGACCAGGTTGCCCGTTCCTCTGGGAGCACTCACAGGCCGCAGGAGGACGCTAGCCATATATGCAGCTGGTGAGCGACAGTATTATGATGATAACTGGCGAAACCCAGAAGCTGCTCGCCGGTACCATGAACACGAGTGGCGTGGTCGCACTGAACTTGAGGTCGATGTGCAACGCCTTTACCCAACAGGGTAGATGAGTTCTTGCTTCATCCATGCCGGGGAAACACTCCAGGCCGGAGTGGAGCATTCGAAGCCCATTTCTTCAACGAAGCATTTTGCTTCCAAGAGGCTACGCTTGAGCCTGCCGGGAAAGCATCCCAGGCCGCAGGATCCAGTGAGAGCCCTCTTTGCCGTTGTGATGATGAAGCTCTTTTGCCTCCCGTAGTACAGTTGGTGACACGTCACCAAGGGGGAGCGCGAGTGAGTGAGCAGCCAGTTAGAATCAATGAGACTTGGCTTATCTGTGGCATTGGCTCAGGTCTACGGAATAGGAGCCCTTGTCACCAGCACGCTGTCCTTTTCGAAAAGAAGCCCATATGTATAGTGTACAGCATTTAGGCAGAAGTCATAGGACACAGACTCCTATCAGAACATGTCTTTTCTGGTCTTTTGTTGTGTTGTTGCTGCCTGGTGACAAAAAGAGCCCTGCGTAACCCCGCTGTGGAGCTTCCTGCCCACGCGAGACCCTAAACCCAAGGCTCCAAGGACCCAGGAGGCCCTATTGTGGTAGGCTTTCGGACTGCCCGAGTCCAAAGGCTAAGGTACCACTCCCCCTTCAGAGTATACAGGTTGCACTTTGGGGTTTAGGGTTTAGGGTTTAGGGTTTAGGGTTTAACCCCGAACCCTAAACCCAAAACCTTAAACCCACCCCGTTTAAGAAGGGGACACCTGAAGAAACACTAGCTCTAGACCCTAAAACGAGAACCTGAATAGCTCCTTACCCTAAGCCCTTCATAAATAAGCTGAGTGTATCTCAAAAATGAGAAAAGGAACCACTTGGTGGCTCAGCGGCACTCTTTTTTTTTTTGCCCACTTTGGGGTTCTGGCTTTCGCCCTCTTCTTTAGACCTGCAATCAGAGCCCAAATCCCTGGTAGCCCAGTGGTACCCTTTTCCCTTTTTTGGTTCAAGACTCCTTTGCAAAGCAAGCAACTCAAAACAAGGGTGCCCTTATTAGAAGATGGTTACTGGGCTACCAAGCACCTCTCATGTTGCCAAGCCGCAACCCTTTTGGGCTTATGGCTTGCCAGGGGTTTGGGGTGTAGAGTTTAGGGTTAGGGTTTAGGGAAGTATGGTTTAGGGGGTGAGATGAGCAAGACCTTTCTGCCGGCCTTAGGTAACTCATACACAAGGGTTGGCTCTAATTCTGAACCCCTAAAACCTCAGCTCTACGCCTGCTTGTGTTCCCGAAGCCCTAAGCCCTAAGCCCCAAACACTAAGCCCTAAACCCCAGACCCGGCCCTGAGCCCCCGTGTTTTGTTTCCCTCTATGGTTGGCAGGGAAAGCCCAAAATGGGGTTTAGGGTTTAGGGTCAAGGGCTCACGGGGTTTAGGATTTAGGGTTTGGGTGTTTAGTTTACTAATAGCTCAGGAAGAAGGCTATACCTCCAGTGCCGCGCCAGAGACTGTCCGGAGGTAACGAGCCCTATGCAAGCTGGGGAGATGTTGGCACCTGCCTCAGATCTCAGCAGGTTTTAGAGCTCCAGGGTTTGGCTGTTTTTTTGGTTTAGGGGTCAGGGTCTAGAGTTAGGGGTTTGCGGATTGGGGGTTCAGGGTTTGGGGTTTATGGGTTTAAGGTTGCTTGTGCGAAGTTTTCTACGCAGGCTCATGCGCCCTAATCCCGAAACCCTAAACCCTAACCCCTAAACCTTAACCCTGCACCCTAAACCGCTCCTCAGCCCTGAAGCCCTTGAATTTCATTGAATACGGCCCACGGACAGGGTGAAGGAGCTAGGAAGGGTTTAGGGTTCAGGGTTCAGGGTTTAGGGTTTACAGGCAGGCTTTTGAAGGGCCCTTGGGATAGTTTCTCTTCGTCTCTCTTTTGGGAAGGATCTTCTTCAGAAAGCTCTAAACCCTAATTTCAACCCTAAACCCTAAGCTCTAAACTTCGTGGCCCTAACCCTAAACCCTTAACATTTTTTCTTGTTGTTTAGTGCAATGTTTGCCCTATAAAGACACCAACTCCCAATAAAGGGTGCCCAAGCAATAGTATGGTTTCTACTACATAAGCATGTCAGGTCTTGTTGCTTTGGGGGGGGGGGGGGGGGGAGGAGGGTGACGCTATGTTAGGTCAAAGATTTAGCCTCTTGATGTTTTTACGTTGGAGCCCTAGACCGTTTAGGGTTTAGGGTTTAGGGCTGATAAATAGGGAGGGTTTAGGGTTTTCGGCTAGGTTTTTATACGGTTGAGGGCTTCAGGGTTCCAGGGTTTGGGATTTGTGGGGTATCTTTACGGTTCAAGCTGCTGAGGTTTTAGGGGCTTTCAGTGCAGATCCACAGCCCCCTTTGAACCAAAGTTGACGTAAAGCAGCTATAATGCCCTTCTTGCCCCAAATCCTAAACCCTAAACCCTAAACCCTAAAAAGTGTCAATGCCCCCTTCTGCACTGCAGTACGGGACCGTGCGGCGATACAACCCGAACAAAGGCCTCTCGTCCACGGCAGCATCGGGTTCGGAAGTTCCAGGTTCTGAACACCGTACACCCCCAGGTGCTAAGCGGTTTGGGGTGTAGGGTTTAGGGTTTAGGGTTTAGGGTTTCGGGTTTAGGGTTTAGGGTTTAGGGTTTAGGTCCTCCACCCCGCACGCCCTTTACCCCTAAACCTCTCAACACCAAGCCCTCAAAGCATGAGGTTTGCGCAGCCTAAGCCGTATACAACCCTGACACCAAACCCCTAACGCCTGGAGCCCACGTCCCCGATCGTTGCAGCATAAAATCCCAACCTTCAGAAGACCAATCCCCTTCTGAACCTGATCATCAACGCAAACCCTAAACCGTTAACCCTACACGCTGACAAGCTTGTCCTGAAACCTTTGGGAGTCAAGGTTTTAGCGCTTTTGGCCCTAAACCCTAAAATTCTCTTGGGGCGTTGAAAGGTCCAATCCCTTGAGGTTTGGGGTGCAGGCTTTCGGGCTTTTAGTCCATTCGAGGTTTGATTTCTGTTTTTTGGGGGTTTCGGGTTTAGGGTTCAGGGTGTTCAGGGTTTGGAGTTTAGGGTTTAGGCTTTCGAGGCTTTATTCCTGGGATGTCGCCTCCCCTCAACCCCAGCTCGCCCTGGGTTCTTCAAGGCGGTCCTCCCCTCGGCTCTGGTAGGAAGTGCCAGCAACATCCAGGCTTCACTGTTTGAAGTCTGTGACCTTTTTTAGGCACCTTGTGTTTGGGGCCTTGCATGCCAGAAACCCCAAATGGGCTCTACGGCCGAACTAAAGTCCTGCGTGTATATAGGGTTCAGGCCCGAAAAGCCACGAATCCTCAACCCCTCACAAACCCCTAAGGCCCAAACCCTTGAATCCTCTCAGCCAAACCCTAAACCCTAAACCCTAAACCCCAAACCCTAAACCCTGAACCCTGGACCCTAAACCCTGAACCCTAAACCCGAAACCCTAACCCCTTCACCGCCAGGCTTCGGTTTCCTCGCGGTGGAGGGTCGCTCGCAGGCGAGACCTATATGAGTGTTGATGTAAAGGGTTCAGGTTTTAGGGTGTAGGGTCTAGGTTTTAGGGTTCCTGTGAGTTTAGGGCTCCTATGGGGTTTTGAAGTTTGATGCGAGGAGTTGGATTGTTTCGGAAACATGCATCTTGCTCGACTACCATATCTTGTCCCCCCCCCGCCCACGCTGGATGGTTTACATCACTGTTTTAGTTGAGTCTATTTGTAGTATTTTGTGAGGAGGGCGCAGGGGGGGGGGGGGGGGGGGGGGGGGGGGGGGCAGGTTTTTCTTCGTGGGTTTGTTGAATTGTCTGTGTTCGGGAGCTGGGTGGTCGGGTGGTTGCCTCATATCGATATTGCTCCCTTGGCTCATGGGTTCCATTGCGCCATTCCGTTGCTCTGTCGAGCTGCCTTTGTATAGATGCCATATCGAGGCTTCGAGCGTTCAACGGAGGGTTTAGAGTCCGTCTGTCCTCTCAAGATACTTCCGCTCAAGGAGTTATGGTACAAACTTATTCTGGCCCTTGGATGCTAGATGCCGCCATGGGTTTGGCAACCAGGTACTTGGAGGTTTATGGTACTTAGTAACCCAATTGCTACTATATACTATACTTGTAACCCAATTATAACCCCATTGGGGTACTTAAGGGCCTTACAAGTGGGGTATACCTAACGTTTAATTGGGTTGCTAAGTACCCCGAACCTCCAAGTAGAGCACGCCCCCCAGATCTTGGCAGGGACGTGGGATCGGCAGCGCTAGTGCTGGAACAAATGAATAGCTTGGGATGTTCCCCCTTGTCCGAACAGTGCTTTATAGGGATTGTCGTACCCCCTAACATAATCCCAATTAAGGACTGCTAGTATAAGGGTGAAAACCCCCTGACACGAAGACAGATTTTGGATCACGCCGAACGCCTTTTTGTGAAACCTTTTTTTGCGCACGTCCTTCTGAAGCCCAAAGAAGAACGATGGAATCAACAGCCGATGCTGGTTGAGCTGCGCAAGCGCTCACCAGGGTGCATAGTTGCTGCCCTAGAAGCCTCGCTTATGTTGAGGCTGCAAGTGTTCCGCTCACAGCTCTGCATGAACCCCACAGGCCTTAAACCCTGCCTGCTATTGCACATCCTGACATGCCAGTGGTGCAGGATGTGACAGGGTTTAGGGTTTAGGGTTTAGGATTTAGGGTTTATGTTTTTAAAATTAGGTTTAGGGTTTAGGGTTTAGGGATTAGGGTTTAGGGTTTAGGGTTTAGGGTTTGGTGCAGGATGTTTACTTCCAGAAGAAAGACCTGCCGGCCGAGCATCAGGCACCTGCCGGGTTGAGTGCCCTAATCCCCCACCCCCACCGACTCCTGGATTTTTCAGCCTCGTTGCTTCAGGCTTAGTGCAAGGGTTTAGGGTTTAGGGTTTAGGGTTTAGGGTTTAGGGTTTAGGGTTTAGGGTTTAGGGTTTAGGGTTTAGGGTTTAGGGTTTAGGGTTTAGGGTTTAGGGTTTAGGGTTTAGGGGAGTTTTGGGTAGTTTAGGGTAGTTTCGGGTTAGGGGTTTGAATTTCTTCTTGCAAAAGTACATGCGGCTGCGACAATATGTGTGAAAAGTGATCATTCAGTATTTAGTATTGGGTTTTGCGCAGGGTCTTTCGCGTGAACGCTCACACAAAGACCTAAACTTTGAGTACATGCTGAACCGCAGTTGGCCTCCGTAAACCCAACCCCTAGCCCCTAACCCGTAACCCCTAAAACCCCTACATCCGTAAACCTAAACCCCGAAACCCTAAACCCCAAGCCCCAAATCCTAAACCCGAAACCCTTCCCCTAAGCCGTGGGCAACGAAGCCGTACCATGGCTTCCAGCTATCCATTGGCACGTGTGTCAACGTTGGCCTGGAAGCCTCATGGGGCCTCATGGCTCTTCAGCTCCCCCTCCCCCGCCGAAAGAAAGCAAAGCGATGTATGTATGTATGTATGCATGCATGCATGTATGCATGTATATACATATTCGAACATACATATGTACAACTGTGTATATATGTATATAGATACAGATATGTATTAAAAAAAAAAAACATAGACAAACAATGTGTTCATTTTGTTTCAAATATGTGTTTGTGTACTGTAAGAGTGCATAGATGGTACTGAAAGTGCCTTGCATCCTAAAAACTTACCGCTGAACCCCAACATGGCTAAGGCACTGTCACCCTAAAGCACGACAGCCCGAAGCTACTTGGGGTTTAGGGTTTAGGGTTTAGGGTCTCGTGTGGAGGAATCTTCGGGCTTGGATGGCGCGCAGGCAGCGGGATCTGTGTGGCTTGCTGAAGGTTCGGGTGATGTTGGGTTTAGGGCTTTGGGTTGAGGGTTGAGGTCTTCACTGCTTAGGGTTGCCGTTTTGTTTCTGACCCTTTTAGGCCGTGTAGGGGTTTAGGGGTTGCGGGCGTAGGCTTAATGCCCAAACCCTAGCCCCCTGATCTGCCCAGTGCTGAAAGCCGGAGTCGCCGACTCCTGAGCAAGAGTGATGGTAAACCCTAAGGCCTAAACCTGAAACCCTCAGCCAAAAACAAACTGGCTCATCATCTCAACTGGGCCACCCCTTTGTCACATGGGGGAGCTCTCCGGCATCATTGCCTGTTTTTTATTGCCGAGCGGGCTCAAGTTAGGGTTTAGGGTTTAGGGTTTAGGGTTTAGGGTTTAGGGTTTAGGGTTTAGGGTTTAGGGTTTAGGGCTGTTGACATTTTTGGGTTAAATTATTCCACTATCGTGTCATTCTACTGTTATACAAGTATATTATTATTGTTTTTTGCTTTCTTAATCATAATACAATTGTATATTCTTACATTACTACATGTTTATATGACTATGTTCTTTTTCTTATAATATGTTTATTAGCAACTTATGAACTTACAAGCTGTTTCTATTATCATATTTCCAGGGCTTCAGACCTCAAGTTTGCGGGCTGCTCCCTAAACCCTAAACCCTAAACCCTAAACCCTAAACCCTAAACCCTAAACCCTAAACCGGGGTTTGGAGCTTCGGGCTTAGTGCTCTGCAGCATCAAGTGTGTAAGCTATCGACTCGGTATTCTGCTAAGGCAACGCCTCACGAGAATGAGCCCGACATGCCAGCCCCCCAACACCTTAAAAGCCTATTCCGCAAAACCCTTTTTTAAAAAATGAAAATACAAAAATAGGTTTAGGGTTTAGGGTTTAGGGATTGGGGTTTAGGGTTTAGGGTTTAGGGTTGAGGGTTGAGGGTTTAGGGTTTAGGGTTTAGGGTTCAGGGTGCAAGCCCGCCAACCTGGAATCCCCCAAAACGCTCCAGCAACCAGGGCTTTGCATATATAAGTCCTGGGGCCTACGCTGAAGGCGTCGACAGCTGTAGGGTGTAGAGTTTAGGGCTTAGGACCCAGGTTTAGGACCTTAAGAGCTTTTGGGTGTTTAGGGCGTAAGGGTGGTTTTTTGGACCGTAGGGTTTCGGGCTCTTCGGACTTTGAGGCTTCTAGGCTATTTTGGTGGGATAACTCAGGGCGGCCGTTTAGGGTCCAGTTGTTTTCTCTGCGTTTGGGCGGTCCGGGCTTGAATTTCTCCAAGCAGCAGACGCCTTAGACCTGAAACCCCGAAAGCTCTAAAAGCCTAAGCCCTTCGACCCGAAACTCCTCAAACCCTAAGCCCCTGCACCCTACATCCCTAACTATCCTAAGCCCTCAGACCCTACTGTCCAAAAACTTAAATTTCGACTCCTAAACCCCTGAGAACGGCAAAGCCCAAATTCCCAATCCCGGAACCCTAAACCCTGGCCCTAAAACCCTATCAACTCTAAAACCGAAACCCTAAACCCGAAACCCGAAACCCTAAACCCTAAACCCTAAACCCTAAAGCCAAAGCTCTTGCTGCCCCAAACTCCCCAAGTCTCCTGGCAGTTTCAGTTCAGTGTCACCATTTCATCGGCGAACAAGCCGCAGGCCCAGGCCTGCGAGTTGGGGGAGGTTTAGGGTTTACAGGGTTTACAGGGTTTAGAGTAAGGCTTTAGGCTTAGAGCCTTAGGGGTTTAGGGTTTATAGGTTTATAGGGTTTATAGGGTTTATAGGGTTTACAGGGTTTACAGGGTTTTCAGGGGTTAGGGTTTCTAGGGTTTTTGGGTTTATAGGGTTTACAGGGTTTACAGGGTTTACAGGGTTTAGGGTTTTCAGTGTTTGTAGGATTTGCAGGATGTGTACGGTGCGAGTTGGAGTTGGGGGTTGGGGGAGGGTTTATGGGGTTTGTAGGTTTTGCTGGCTTTGTAGGATTTGTTGGGTTTATAGGGTTTCTCGGGTTTATAGGGTCTAGGTTTTAAGGTTTAGGGATGTTTGGGGTTTAGGGTTTAGAGATATAGTCTTCAGGGTTTCTTGTTTAGGGTGCACTCGAATGTATGGGCCCATGTATTCTGGTACCCTAAGCTCTATACAATATGCTACAAAATGGAGGGTGCGGGAGGGTCCAGAACTTAAAAAGGCCATGGTTTGGACATAGAGTGAACCCTAAACCCTATATAAGACCTAGAGAGTCTCTCAATTACATGCTCTGGTACTTCCCCGCGAAGCAAGTAAATTGAATAGTGGCATGATTTTGCACAATCACCTTCCCTGATTGTTGTTCACGAAAGAAGCCACCAACAATCCCCCCCGTGAGACTGGTGGGCGGGGCTGGACTCCAAATATCTACGTCAACAGTGGGCTCCCCACCCACCCCCCACCCAAACCCAGTCCTTGATGTTCATGTAGGCGCCCGAAACCGTAAACTCAAAACTGCAAAGCCTAGCCCGAATCCTTTAACCCCCACCCTCCCAAAACCCTAAACCCTAAACTCCTAAACCCTAAACCCTAAACCCGAAACCCTAAACCCTAAACCCTAACCCCCCCCCCCAAAAAAAAAAAAAAAAAAAGAGTTGATAAAAGTTCTAGGGGCTACTCGAGAACTCTTGCCGGTTCTCACCTTCCTTGCGGTTCTGAGATCCTTGTGTACAACCTGCCCACCCGCTTGGAGGTTCAGGGTACTTAGTAGCCCGATTATTATCACCCTAAGGCTCCAAATAGCCCAAAGTCGGTACTATGTATAGACTTTAGACCCCACTGTAGGTATTATTTGTATACTTGGAGCCCTAGGGTTATTATAAGTGTAGTTAGAACCCGCGAGGAATCCCCTTAAGTACCCGAATTGGCTTATACTTGGGTTTTATAAATACAGTTGTAATTGGGGCGTCAGCATAGGCGTGGCGTGGGCACACTTGCCACTCCGTACCAAACGCCATCAGGGCGTGCCCTGAGCATTGACGACCTTGAGCAGGAGCTGACCAATGCGCCACCCATCCAACTTCAAGATCAAACAGATGAACAGGCTGTGGCGATCATGAGTGATGGGAAGGAGAAGGGCGAGACCCCTGCCAGATTGAGTCTGACGTGATCGCAAAGCGTGTCGAATCGAGGAAGGAGACCGCTTCATACCAAGATTCCTCTTTGGGGGTCCCCTGAAGGGGATGCCATTGTATTTGGGGTATAAAGGGGGTACCCCTATTTTGAGATATGCCCCTAAACCCTCAACCCTGGCCTGTACAAACCCACTGTGGCAGGACATGGAACTGTTATCCATGCCGGCGCCCGGCAGCGGCGGCGGTTGCGGCGTCAAGAGGTACCAACCGCAACCATAAAAAAGCTAAATGCCCAAAAGCCCCAAACCCTTTCAAACCCTAGATCCTAAACCCTAACCCCTTCAAAGCCCTATAGAGACTAAACCCTAAACCCTTCAAAGCCCTATAGAGCCTAAACCCCAAACCCTTTAAAGCCCTATAGAGCGTAAACCCTAAGCTTTTAGAAATCGGCGTGTGAAGAGGCTGTTTTTTGCAAATGTTGGTGTTCACGCTGGGGCCTATCCCATATAAACAGAAACAGGGTTTCAGGTTCGGGCTTTTGGTTGTTTGGGTATGTTTACCGAGAGCTATGAGGTACGGGCTCATGGTGCCGTTTTAGGCAGTCGACTGAGACCCTAAACCCTCAACCCTGTACACTGCAACCTGGGGGAATTGACCTCCAATGCCTACGCCCCAAACCCTAAGCCTGAATCCTAAACCCTGAACCCTAAACCCTAAACCCGAGTTTTGGGTAAGCTTCCAACTTAGGGGGCCGAAGGGGTGGACCCCGAGCCCGAAATGGGGGGTTGGCATCCCAAACCCCAAACCGTAAACCCTCAACCCTGCGCATGGGAGCTAGGATTTGGGGTTTAGGGCTGCGCATAGGGTTAAGCCCCAAATCTAGGTTACTCAGGTAATCCTGCAACCCTAAGCAGCCAGAACTTTGAGAAACCCTTCGAGCAAAGAACCCCCTAAACCCGAAACCCTACACCCTAGCCCCGAAACCCTAAACCCTAAACCCTAAACCCTAAACCCTAAACCCTAAACCTCGACCCCCCACACACCGGGGCAGGCCAGCTCCCATGCAGGTGCCAGTGAGGCCGTCCCAAGGCAAGGGAACCCCAAACCTCAAACCCGCACAAGGGTTCAGGCTTTTAGGGTTCAGGGTTTAGGGTTTAGGTTTTAGGGTTTAGGGTTTAGGGTTTAGGCTTTAGGGTTTGGGGTTTAGGGTTTAGGGTTAGGGTTCAGGGTTCAGGGTTTATATAGGGCTTAGGGTGCATCTGGTAAGACGTCCATCCACACGAGGCTGTGTGCAGCCCAGTCACAGAACACGATTTGCTCAACCAGCACATCACTCTACGGCAAAACCCTAGGTACCCATGCAAGCCACCTTCATCCGCCACACCCTACACCGGAGCACTCTAACATTCAAGGATTTAGGGTTTAGGGTTCAGGGTTCAGGGTGTAGGGTGCAGGGTTTAGGGTTTAGGGTTTAGGATTTAGGGTTTAGGGTTTACTGTTTAGGGTTTAGGGTTTAGGGTTTATCCTGAGCGTTAGGTTCCATGTTCAGCCCCAAGTCTACGGATCCCAACACCACAGAAGCCAGCACCTGGCTAGTCCTACACTCATGGGTTTCCCTACTGCCCCCCTCTCTGGGGTTTGGGGTTTAGGGTTTGGGGTTTAGGGTCTAGGGTTTAGGGTTTAGGGCTTAGGCCCCCCTCTAGACCCCTAGGTTCCCCTCTTAACTAGCCTTAACTACGCTGAACTTTCCCTAGATAGACTTAATTGGGGGGGAAGCTAGGGCGGGCAGCATAGACGGGGGGTAGTATGGGAAGCCATGATGCACATAAGGAACCCCTCTTTGAGGCCCATCTTCTCTAAGGGGCACTGAAGGGTGTCGTATACTGTCGGAAACGCAGGAAGTAGGTTAGGGTTGAGGGTTGAGGGTTGAGGGTTGAGGGTTGAGGGTTGAGGGTTGAGGGTTGAGGGTTGAGGGTTGAGGGTTGAGGGTTGAGGGTTGAGGGTTGAGGGTTGAGGGTTGAGGGTTGAGGGTTGAGGGTTGAGGGTTGAGGGTTGAGGGTTGAGGGTTGAGGGTTGAGGGTTGAGGGTTGAGGGTTGAGGGTGTAGTGTAGGGTTTAGGGTTTCGGGTTTAGGGTCTAGAATTTAGGGTTTAGGCGGAACACCGCCCGATACCGTATCACTGAGGAGCTACGCAAACACTGCACCCAAGTGCTGCGAAGTCCCATTTTCCACGACTCTACGTTCCCACTTTAGGCCCCGTTCCATGAAGACGTATTCCCTAACTTGCAGCAAGTATCCGTAACCTGTTTAAGGGTTATTGGCATCAGCCTTAATTACTCCCTGTATCTGCAACCCCTAAACGCCAAACCGAAATTCCCAAACCGAAGAATTAGATTTAGGGGAGCGCCTGCGCAAAAATGAGATCTGAGGTTCGAAGGTTTGCTTGTTCAAAACCCAAGCAAACCTGAAACGCTCGCTGCGAACTTGGAGCAAAGGGTTTCAGGTGCTGGGCTTTCCGGTTTTAGAGTTTAGGGTTTCGGGTCAGTAGCCCCCAACCCTAAATTCCTAAACCTAAACCCAAAACCCTGAACCCAAAACCCTCAACGCAAAACCCTAGACCTTGTCAACCCTACACTGTACATTTGAAGAGGACCGCCGGCAGCCTCGCCGGTTGTGGTGAGTCCGATGAAAAGGCTGGACACCCTGAAAGAACCCTAAGTTTGGGATAACATGCCCGGAAGTCTAAACTTTGTCTCAATCCACGTTTTGTAGGTTTAGGGTTTGTAGTTTTTGGGTTTTGGGTTTTTAGGATTTGCAGGGTTTGCAGGGCTTTTGCTTTTGGTTTAGGGTTTGTAGGGTTTGTAGGGTTTGTATGTTTTTGTAGGGCTTGTAGGGTTTTGTAGGATTTGTAGGGTTTGTGGGGTTTTGTAGGGTTTTGGGTGTAGGCTTTGGCGGGTTTGTAGGGTTTTGGGAATTGCGCAGCCCCTCTTTCGGATAGAGACCATCAAGGCATATGGGCTATAACACCCTCAGGAGATCGTCCGCAAGGCAGCTAATTGTTCGTGTACGGTGGCGCCAGGGTGGTTTAGAGTTTAGGGTTCAGGGTTCAGGATTTAGGGATACCATAAACCCTAAACCCTACACCCTAAACCCGAAACCCTAGGCGCATGCCCAAATCCCTAACTTCCCAACATGGCATGGGAGCAGGGAAGCTTCATCATATAGTATACATAAATTAAACACACACACACACAGAGGCAGATTTAGAGATGTCTTTCCGAGTAGATGCATATGTATATCCAGATGTATAGACACATACATATAGACATATGCGCACATCTAGCCAACTCTTCTGTCAACACTGTATACAGAGCTAAAAGACACAAATGGGTGTTGATCATAAGGTCCTTGTAAGAGATTTTATGTGAAAACCTACATCTCAAGGATGTAATTAGAAGTGTCCGCGAAAGATCCGCGAAGAGGGTGTGCGAAAGTGATTTTTTGTTGGCGAAAGTTTTGACGTAAGGCGCCTGTTTGCTATGCATCTGTGGCATAAGGCTCGCTCTCGTACGCCCAGCTGGCTCAAAGCCTCCGTCGGACCACACGACACGCAGCGAGGGTCTAGGGTTTACTTTTAGTGCTCAGGGCTTGAGGATTTAGGATTTAGGAAATCGGTTTCCGAAAGTCTAGAATTTTGCGAAAGACTGGCGCAATCTCCGCGAAAGTCCCGTGAAAGTCTAACGTATCCCATGAAGGGCCCAGCCCACGTGGCATTTGCTCAAGAAGTGTGCAGGTGCGTAGCTGTAGTACGTAGGCGCCAAGGATGTGATTTTAGGTCTTGGGGTTCAGGAGTGCGCGCGCTTAGGCGCGCTGAAGTTCCGCGACAGAAAATTTATTTTTGGCGAAAGATACGTTTCCGGGACAAAGCAATTTTGATCAACAGCCAAATGTACCTGTACACATATATATGTATATGTATATATATATATATATCTATATATATATATATATATATGTACGGGGGTCCTCTTGGGGGTCCCTTTAAGGGGATTCTGATCGACTTGGGGTTTAAAAAGGGGTACCCCTATTGTGGGCAATATAACTAGGTGGGACTTTCCCACAACTTTAGCACTTTGTGAGTTTTGGGGTTCCTCTAATTTCATATTAAGGGAGCTAAAAGTTACACTTTTTTTTTGGGGGGGGTTAAAAAGCAACCAAAAAAAGTATACATATATATATATATGTAGAAGTACTACAGATGGGGTTGTGCAACAAGCCTGCTCCTCTTAGTTTTGTAGCGCGCATGAGCGCTTGTCACGGACTCTGTGTGTGTGTGTGACTTGCACAGCGATCCGGAAGAATAGCACCCTGAGCCACCTAAAGCCTAGAGACAGTATTCTCCAAGATGTTGCATCTGTGCTGGGGGTAGGGTATCGTGAAGCCGAAGTACCGTAAAGCGATACGAAAGAACAACACGACAACGGCGAGATGGACATAGCAAAATGACCACTCATCGTCGTCTAATGGCGCATGACTGAATGCCAATAGTTGTAATGGTTCTGTCCCATTTTGGGTTACCCAATATACTACATAGCAGAACTAGCCATTTTAGCTTCCCCCGCCCCTACTCCTTGATCCCAAAAACTCGTCTACTGGTGTAATATGCGACAAAGGACTTGCTAAACATTCAGGGAGAAAAGGGGGATTAATCCCAACAGAAGTATAATCGTAAGGGTTCTCTAAATCTCCCACTGCACATGAGTCCTCATGACACCCCTATGACTTCATGCCTTCAAACAAACCGCTCAATAGCCTTCAAGACCTCGACAAGCACCTATATGCCGGACTGTCTCAATCTGCTTTGATCTTGCAGAGAGCAAAGAGCCATGATCCGCCTGTATCACACCCCTCACAACCCTAAACCCTAAAAAACAAAACCGAAACCCTAAATCCTAAACCCTAAACCCCAATCTTGGACTGTAGCCTGATCTGTGCAGGCGCTAAAATTTTTCTGCCAAATGAAGGGCAACTCGCAGGAATTCCAAGAGCAAGCGTGCAAAGCGTTCCAGGGAAGCCGAGCTTTGAGCAATCACTCTGTAGCAGGATCAGTCAAAGACAGCAGTCCCCAGTCTGATAGGTGCGCTGAGGCAAAACTCAGGGGTGCCGGTGCCCGTCTTATGACAACAACCCAGGGTTTAGGGTTTAGGGTTCAGGGCCGTGTTTTTCTCCGGCTAGCAAGTCAGCAAGATAAAAGCCTGCGTTTCTTTCCGTCAGAACGTTCCCGTGTGGTCCAGCTGTTCTTGAGATCATTGGCCACATCAAAGTTGAATTTGTTGCTCGTCTCTTGCTGTTGCTTGGTAGGGAGTGAGGGAGTTAGGTACCCTGCATCATCCTTTAACGGGTATATATGGGGGGATAAAGGGTAGCTAATTCTTTCATTCCCTGCTATGATTTTGCGGAGCTGCAGAAGCCTTTGGAGTTTGATGTGTGGCGTTTACGGTTTAGGTTTCAGGGTTTAGGTTTTAATTTTGGCTTCAGGGTTCAGGGTTTAGGGCGCAGCGCTTGCTGCCCAAGGGCTGCAGCAGAAAGTCAGCACTCAGTTTTACAAATCTTACAAAACCCGACAGGTGTCACGGTTCTTGATGTAGACTATGTGGGACTTTATTCCAACTTCATCACTTCGTCATGTTCAGGGAGCCAAAAGTTAGATTTTTTGGGGGTTACAAAGCAACCAAGTAGAGCTGCGGTTCATCTTGCTGATGGTCTGTTGACCATCTGGGCCGATGCCGGCGGAAATCTAAGCAACGAGGGTTCCAAGTTCTGTATAGGAGCTTGATATCCCAAAATTCCAGTCCTGGCAACGTGCAGGCTGAGGCCGACGCCAACAACACAGCCGACCGTGGTTCCTCCTCCCATGGCTGCGCCCTCAGCCCGATTTTTCTGCGTGGCCCTTCGATTTAGTAGGGCCCTTGAACAAGGACCCTGAGAGGCCCTTCGGGTTTAGGGTTTAAGGGTTTAGGGTAGAGGGTTTAGGTAAGAGGAAGCTACTTATCCAAACCCTGCGAGAATCCCACATGAGGTTTTTTGAGTACAAGGGTTATTTTGGGGGTAGTCTCGACATCCTATGAAAGGAATGAAAAGGGGGAGAGGTACCCCAAACCCGGAACCCTGAACCCAAACTTGGCCCTGTACACGGTAAATAGTGGTGTGTAAGGGGCCGTTCTTGCCTTAGATGTCTCCAGAAGTAAGCACACAAGACAAGTGTATCGGGATTAGGGTTTAGGGTTATAGGGCTGAGGGAAGTAAGCATGTACCCTAAACCTTAAACCCTAAGCCCTGAACCCGAAACCTTAAACCCTAAACCCTGCACCCTAAACCCTTAAACCCCTATACCTCAAGTTTTCAAGCCTCAAGCTCACAGAGCCCCCACCCCCAACGGGACTCGGCCAGCTTTGCCATGGTTTGGGGCTGTCGGGTCTAGTTTTTAGGGTTTATAAGGTTTAGGGTTTTTAGGGTTTAGGGTTTAGGGTTTAGGGTTTAGGGTTTAGGGTTTAGGGTTTGGGGGGTCCCCACACGTAAAAAGGGCTTCAGGGTCCTTCAATCCCACATGCCCTACGAAGAGCCAACAAGAAACCTTAGGCCATAAGCCCCAAAAACCCCGGAAGCATAGCCAGACTGTAGATGATGGTGGCCATGCCGCAAAGCACACGAAACCTTCAACCTTGATTAGGGGTTAGGGTTTAGGGTTTAGGGTTTAGGGTTTAGGGTTTAGGGCTCTGAGGGTAGTTTCATGGGCCCTTAATATGGCCCCTTACCTCCTTCAGAGGGTTCTGATGTATGCACCCTTAATTTGTCTGGGGTATGTAAGTGGAAAAAAAGAAAGGGGTCCCCGTTTAAGGGCCCATAGTAAGGGACCCGGTAACGTCCCTTGGAGAACCCGAAACCATAAACCCTGTCTACTTGCTTGCCTGATGGTACCCTTCCCCCTTGTTTTTGGTCCTCAGAAAGTCGCCAACCCCAAAAAGGGTACCCTGGTTAGAGTATTGTCGCTGGGCTACCCAGTCTATTTCTATCGTCCCTAAACCGCGTCTATTGCCATTGTTGTTCTTGTTTGTTGGGGGGGGGGGGGGAGGGTTTTGACCTTTCAAAGTTCTGTCCTGCAGACTGCAACAAGACTCATCTCAGCCCCATCGGCGCAAAAACACAGACGACTAGATCATATTGTGTTAGGTCATGACAAATGACATATCATATACAATATACAATATGAACCCAACATTTAGAGCCAGAGGTCTTAGGGTTGCATGTATGTTTTCAAAAAACACATGCAACCCTAAGACCTCTGGCTCTAAATTGTGGTCCCTTCTTGGGGACCCTATTTAAACAAGAGGGGCCGCCTTATAATAAGGACCCAAACGAAACCCTAAACCCTGAACCCGAAAACCCTAAACCCTAAACCCTAAACCCTATCCTCTTCCGAGGCCTTTGCGCCGCGCCCCGCCCTGGGCGGCATGCAGCTGGGCGTGCAGCAAATGATGCGAGGGAGCCTGGGTGCCGCCAAGGGTAGGGTTTAGGGTTTAGAGTTTAGGGGGGGGGGGTCTAGGATTTGGGGTTTAGGGTTCAGGGTTTGGGGTTTAGGGTTAGGGTTTGGGGTTCGGGGTTTGGGGTTTAGGGTTCGATGTCCCGTGATGGGTATGAAGCGAAGCAGGTTTCACCGTCCTGTTCTTTAATAGGATTCAGGGGTCGAGCGCAGTGGGGGCTTTGGGTCGAGAGTTGTGGGTTGGAGTTTAGGGTTTAGGATTCAGGGCTTAGGGATTGGGGTTTAGGATTCAGGGTTCAGGGTTCCAGATTCTGGGTTTCGTCAGGTTTAGGGGTCTCACACCACAGGAGGTCTGCCTAATCCCTAAACCTCAGAATTCCCCTGAAACTGCACACAACTGAGTCTATCATCCAAGACTTCTCCACCCTTGACCCTTTAAGAGTTTGGGGAGGACTGGGCCCCGCCTTGTGCCTAGCAGTAGCGTCCGGCAGGTACCTATGTACATAGGAACCTGTACACAGACACCCTTAACCGAAAGAAGCAAGATTCCGAAGCGCGAAACAAAAGCCTTGAACCCACAAACCCCTAAACCCTAAACCCTAAACCCTAAACCCCAAACCCCAAACCCTAAACCCTAAACCCTAAACCCCAACACGGACGGAGACGCGTGGTGTTGCTTCTCCTCAGGGCCGCTGTGGGGCTCTCACCCACACTAGGTGCGGGGGCCGGCACGCCTCAAAGGGTTTAGGGTTTAGGGTTTAGGGTTTACGGTTTACGGTTTAGGGTTTAGGGTTTACGTTTTAGGGTTGAGGGTTTAGGGTTTAGGGTTTAGGGGGGTTGTAGATAGCTTAGGGCAGGGCTATTATACAGTCAGTACTTTGGTACCTTAAATGGCCTATGCTGTAGGGTTTAGGGACACCTGAAGACCATTCCAGGTCTCGGCCTGAAACAATGCACCTAACCCCTGAAGCCTAAACCCTAAACCTCCTATAAGGCCCTCAAAACCTAGAACTTTTGGGGTTTGGTGTTCAGGGGTTTACGGTTTAACCCTGAACCCTAAAACCCTGAATTCTAAACCCCAAAACCCTCAAGCCCCAAAGCCAGTAGGGTACTTAAGGGGCTAATAAGTGGGCTATAACTACACTTGTAATTGGGCCCTAAACCCTAAACCCTAAACCCTAAACCCTAAACCCTAAACCCTAAACCCTAAACCCTAAACCCTAAACCCTAAACCCTAAACCCTAAACCCTAAACCCTAACCTATTGGGCTACTAAGTACCTTGAAACCCCAAGTAGAGAAGAGGCAGCTCTTCCCAGCCCTGAAGGCGCCAAGGAGTTTAGGGTTTAGGGTTTAGGGCTTAGGGCTTAGGGTTTAGGGTTTAGGGCTGCTTGTGGCCCACAAGAGACCCCTTGAAGTTCTTCAACCCTGAGCACCCCAAGCAGCAGAACCCTAAAGCCCCAAACTACAAGCCCTAAACCCTAAACCCTAAACCCCAAACCCCAAGCACCCCAAAACCCCAGAAGCCCCAGAACCCTAGAGGTGCTTGGGACACTTTAGGGTTTAGGGTTTAGGGTTTAGGGTTGAGGGTTGAGGGTTTAGGGTTTAGGGTTAATGGTTTTGGGTTTTAGGGTTCAGGGTCGAGGGTTTTGGGCTTTGGGTCTTGGGGTTAGAGCAACGAGTCCCCTGGGTTTTAAGGGTTTGGTTCCCTGCAAAAAAGGCCCCCTGAACCCTGAAATTCAGCGTTCATAGGGTCTAAGGCAGAGTCTAAGGTTTGTAGGGTTTCGGGTTTAGGGTTTAGGGGTTCAGGGTCTCAGGTTTGTAGGGTTTAGGGTTTCGGGCTGAGGGCCTGGGGTACACCCTCAACCCTAAACCCAAAACAGGGCCTGCCGGCGCGAACGGCAAGACCCCGGGGACCGTGCGCAGCTCATGGTTTAGGTTTATTGGGTTTAGGGTTTACGGTTGAGAGAGAGGAGGGTTGATAACCCCAAGCCCTAAACAAAGAATGCCTCAATTCAACCGCCCCTTCTCTCCAGGGTGAACCCCACTCGTCCCCCCACCAACAACGAATCTAAGACTTATTAAAGTAGCTGCCCTAAGCCGTCGAAGTTGGGCAAGGCTTTAGGGCTTCGGGGTTTAGGGCTTAGGGGTGGGGGTGGGGTGTGGGGGGGGGGGGGGGGGGGGTGGGGTGTGGGAGCGGTTTGGTGGGAGGGTTGGTGGGGGAGGGTGGAGCAAGGGAGGTGTGAGGCCACGACATACTTTCCTGTGACCTCAAACCCTATGTAGTGTCCCCTGAAATATGGGGTTTAGGGTTTAGGGAGAAGGTCCCCCGCGCCCCACAACCGCCTGGGCAGTAGGTAAACTTATATAACTCCTACAAACGTGTTTCAGTCTTTTTGTTTGGGATGTTCTAAGTTGCCTTTGGTTTGGGATGTTCTAGCATGTGCTTCTATGGGCATTACCAAAAACGAGAGGTTCCCCTTATATCCCAACTGCAGCGGAATCCGGCCCCAAGATAGGTTCTAATAGGGTACCCGCGCCCACTCCCATATAGGGGAGAGTTCTGCAGGGTGTTTAATCTCCATTCCCCAGCCGACTAGCAGTCGTTTGAATCCTGCGTCGCTTTCGGTTCGACTCCATGGCGAGACCGTACGCTTCGATGCCATCCCTAAACCCTAAAGCCTAAACCCTAAACCCCAAGCCCTAAATCCTAAACCCTAAACCCTAAACCCTGTTTTGAATGATTGCGTGGCTCTGTATAGATATCGGTGAATGCAAGTATTGGGGTTCCCTTGTGGGAATGGGCTCCCTTTTGGGAATACTAGCAATGTCAGCTTCTTGGTGCCTGTATCTACTCGGGAACATGCAAAAAATGAACCATAGTTGAATATGGGTTCGATGTGAATAGGAGCAGTGTTAACCCAAAACCATCCTGAATGTTTAGGGTTTAGGGTTTAGGGTTTGTGACCTAATTCAACCCCAAATCCAGCGCCCAGAGGCTGAAACCTTGAGGCCACCCATTTCACCTTCAGCCTTATGATTTGGGATGTTCCCCCTTATACGAACAACCCCTACATAGGGAACTTGACAGGGGGGGGGGGGGGGGGAGTATACTATTCTCACTATCAAGGACTGTTAGTATAAGGGACAACATCCCTAAACCCTAAACCCTAAACCCTGCTGAGGTGAAGTCCTTCAACCCAATGAAGGCCCTTCTTTTCGATGCCTTGCTTGGGGGTTTCGGGCATAAGGAACCCCCTAACCCCAAACCTTAAGGGTTTAGGGTTTAGGGTTTAGGGTTAGGGTTTAGGCTTAGACCCCGAACCCTAAAACCCCCCTCTTCAAACAGCAAGCAAAGCAAAGGACCCTATGCACATCCTGTGCGCCCCCAAAAACTGACCCGATCACCCCAATGTCCTATACCGTGCGCAACCCCAATATGCCCTTTGCAGACCCTGTAAGCCCCATAAACCCTTAGCCCTAAACGCCCCCCTTCAACCCCACACCCTGAAACCTGAAAAGCCCTAAAACCCGAAACCCCAAAGCCTACACCCCAAACTCCCAAGTGTCCCAAGGGACCCAAGGGGCCCAAGTGTCCAAAACCCCCCAAACCCGAGCCCTAAAACCCTAAATCCCTACAACCCCCAACCCCCCGTCTAACCCTACTTGGAAGCCGTTTTGCTTTAGGAAGTAGGTCAGATGGGTTAGGGGGAATATGATAGGGTTTCCTGGGGATGCCTAAGTAGACTTACTAATCGACTAACTCAGAAGAGCTTAACCGTAAACCCTAAAACCCTGAAACCCTGAAACCCCAAAACTCTAGAACCTTCAGCCCCCCCAAAACCCCAAGACCCTAGTTAAAGCCCAAAAGCCCAAAAGCCCAAAACCCAAAAACCCCAAATTCCAAAAACTTTAAAGCCCCAAACCCCAAACCCCAAAACCCTCAAAACCCTCGAACCCTCGAACCCTCAAACCCTCAAACCCTCAAACCCTCAACCCTGAACCCTAAACCTTAGCCCTAAACCCTAGACCCTAAACCCAAAACCCTGAAACCCCAAAACCGCGGCAGGGTTTTGGCTTCATCGCGGCGCCGTCCCTTCCTTCGGACGCCTCGGCCTCGGTGAGCTGATGATCGCCAAGCATAATTCAGGGTTTAGGGTTTGGGGTTTAGGGTTTAGGGTTTGGGGTTTGGGGTTTGGGGTTTGGGGTTTAGGGTTTAGGGTTTGGGGTTTGGGGTTCGGGGTTTAGGGTTTAGGGTTTGGGGTTTGGAGTTTGGGGTTTAGGGTTTGGGGTTTAGGGTTTAGGGTTTCAGGGGGCTTTTGCGGGCATGTTGGGGATATTCGGGTGCCCCTACTTAAGGGAATATTCATGAACATTCATGAACATCCTAACCCTAAACCCTAAGCCCTAAACCCTTGAACTCGGACTGCCCTCCCCCCCCCCCCCCCGTCCGCGCACCCAGGTATACTTCAATGCCAAGTCGCTACCAGACGAGTATCGTCAGGTGGACCTCACCGGGCAGCAGGCCGCTTTCCAATACTTCCGGATACTTCTTCGGGGTTGAGATTATGGAGCCCCCCTATACTTACACGTGTACATGTCGTATATGAATATATGAATATATGAATATATATATATATACATACATATAAATAGATATATCTATATATATATATATGTATGTTATGAACTACCAAAATAGCAACTCCCGTCAAGTAGGCCTCCGTGTTATCCAGCGTTGCAGAGCCCCTCAACCTGCGGCAAAAACAACCATAAGTCCTAAACCCTACACACCCGGATTTGGGGCTTAGGGCACCCTCAACTTCCTAAACCTCTCCTTCACATGGATTTTTGTGACATCCTTCATCCTTTGTGGGCCTTTGTCCAATTTGCATGGGGCATCTTTCCAAATTGGGTGGGCGTTGCAAAGGCTTCAGGGCATACCTTTTGGGCGGAAAGAGTCTGAGGACATGCAGGAGGACAGCTAGCTTGAGAAGTACGATGTAAAGTAAAGTAGTTTCCTTCTGTTGTGGGACCCAAGAACGGGTGGGTATGTCTCCATCGCCTGGCAAGCTGCTTGACGGGTGTATGCTTTGACTTGAGCTGCTGAATGCTAAACCCTGCCTACACCCTACACCAAACCCACCTCAAGCCCTTCAAGCACCCAACCAGGGAGTCCCCCGTACTTCATTCGGCTTGGGGGAGCATCCCTATGAGGTCTCCTTCAACGTTCGGTACACCGCAGACGGCAAGATCCAGGGCACCGACGTCCAGGCATGTGGAGGAGTTCCAGGATTCACCTAGAGTATTTTATTGGATATACTTTGATACATATATCCACTGCTTAAGGTATATCAGGTTGCTCTAGGTAGCTTTTTAGGGCAGTTGGGCCATTTGGGCATGTAGCATGGCAGACTTGGTTGGCGCGGCCTCCTTGAAGAACGAGGCCGACCACAACACCCCGCTCTTGTTGCAGTGGTGCTTGCAAAGACACGGTCGCCATGGACCAAGCACGTGTCATGACATGGTCTCAGCACGAGCAGTGGGTCCAGTGGTTGCTGCATGCCGGCAATCACGGGATGGCATAAGCCGAGCCTTGCTCAGCTCGTCCAAGCTGATGGTGAGCGATTCCTGCTGATGGTTGACACGTTCGGGCACGACTCGAGTACCGGCCCGTTGTTCGTGCCTTTGTCGGACAAAGGAAAGGGGCTCATCGGCAACATGTCAGCTACTCCTAATCCCCAGAGCCGATACGTCCCGATACTCAAACCTAAACCTTAAACTGCCTTCATTCCCTAGCCGCCCTAGCCCCGAATGGCCCCGAATCCCTATAACCCTATACCAAACCCCAATCCCTAAGCCCTTTCATACTAAATCAAGCCCAACCCTAGGGCCCATAGACCCTGAGCCCTGTGCACTGAGAGGGTCTTGATTTTACCAACCATGCGTCCGTGCATCAAGGTCTCCCAAGCAATCAGCAAGTTCCTTCTTACAGATGGCAGGGAAGCTTGCGCAGGGTGAAAGAGCCCCCTACAGCCTAAACCCTAAACTTTCTTCAGAATGGCACGCTTGCAAGTAAAAGCCTTCTGGGCCATCAGGGAGATTTTCACTCTCGAAGTTTGCGGCATTCTGATTTCACAAGCGAATGCTGACAAACCGAACACTGCCCGGTTAGAAAGCCCTAAACCCTAGACCCTAAACCCGAAACTCTTACTAGACCCTAAACCCTAATTCAACCCTAAACTCTAAACCCTAAACCCCAAAATGCCGAGACCTTTGCCAGCGGCGCAGGTCGGATTTTAGCGATGCTGAGAGCGGCTGCACTGCTGGTGCTGCGCCAGCGCCGATTCTGGCTGCACCCTAAGCCCCAGCCCGAACCACCCCCGGAGCCTTCAAGCAGCGTTTGGGATTTTACGGTCTTGGGTTTGAGGTTTGGAGTTTCGGGTTTAGGGTCTAGAGGTTAGGGTTTAGGGTTCTTGGAGTTTTTGGGGTCCTCGAGGGCTGCGTAGGGCTTGCGGCGTGCCAGGGCTTTGAGCTTCTTGGTCACTACAGCCTCGAGACCCCACAGACCCTACGAACCCAGTTTTACAACCTGTAAAACCCACCCACCTTATAAAGCCCTAAACCCGATAAACCCTATACATCCCATAACAAAACCCTAGACCCTGAACCCTAAACCCTATAAATCCTAGAGACCCAGAACCCTGCACTACATTCTCTACACCCTGGAAAAGCCCTCAACCCTATCAAAAAAGCCGTAAACCCGATAAACCCTATAAACCCTATAAACCCTATAGACCCAGAACCCTAAACCCTAAACCCTAAACCCCAAATTCTCTACACCCTTGTCCCAGTGTCGGTGCTTCTTGCGGGCCGCAGCGCAGCCTATAGCTGTTAGGTCCGGCGTGGGAGTCTGAGGGGCATTGATACCTGCAGCTTCCAAGTACCCCTGAATGGGTTGAGGGTTTAGGGTTTAGGGTTTAGCATGAGGGCACAAGTGTACCTGAATGAGGGGTATTCAGGGTCTCGCACAGGGTACTTGGGGGGGGGGGGGGGGGTCTGAGTATTGTGTCGTGTTTAGGGTTTCACTGTTGGTTGGCTGTTTGTCGGTTCTGGGTCCAATGCCTGAGTATCCAAGAGACCACTCCACGAAGCTTCATCAACTTGACGCCCCGCAACGAGAGAATCGTAAGCCACGCACGCACACACACACACACACACACACAAACACACACACACTTGTCAGCCTTATCAACCCTCAACCCTCAACCCTCAACCCTCAACCCCCTAAACCCTAAACCCTAAACCCTAAACCCTAAACCCTAAACCCTAAACCCTAAACCCTAAACCCTAAACCCTAAACCCTAAACCCTAAACCCTAAACCCTAAACCTAAACCCTAAACCCTAAACCCTAAACCCTAAAAACCCTAAACCCTAAACCCTAAACCCTAAACCCTAAACCCTAAACCCTAAACCCTAAACCCTAAACCCTAAACCCTAAACCCTAAACCCTAAACCCTAAACCCTAAACCCTAAACCCTGCACGCACCGGGTGGTGGGGCTTACGATTGCCCTTGACGACTGACACCCCGGGCAGCCTCGAAGAGTAGCCATCAGCCGGCACACCTGGAAGCCTGGTAGGTAGGGTTTAGGGTTTAGGGTTTAGGGTTTAGGGTATAGGGTTTAGGGCTTAGGGCTTAGGGTTTAGGGTTTAGGGTTTAAGGTTTAGGGTTTAGGGCTTAGGAGATCCTCTCAAGGAATAGAAGGGCCATACTCGGAGTACATTAAGGGAACCCTTTAGGGTAACAGCCTTAGGCTAGGGGGGACGAGTTCGAAACCCTAAATCCTAAACCCTAAAACCGCCCAAGCACCCCCCCTTCAACTTTGGGTTGGTCTGGAGTCCCAGGGCTAGGTGGTCGACACTGCGTTTCAGCAGCCGGCACGACTCGGAAGCAGCGGACGCAACACGGAGCACCAACGTGTTTGGGCTTAGGGCCCTGTTAGGGTTGAGGCTTCTAAGAGTAGTTATATGGGCCCTTAATATGTGATCCCTTTCCTTCTTTCAAGGGTTCTGAGGAAACTATGGGCCCTCGGGTTATACACCCTATGCAGGGCATATAAGGGGTCCCTGTTAACGGCCCATACTAAGGGACCATGTAACTACCTTCAGGAGGCTTCTAAGCACACATCCGGCCCCTCGTTGTTTGGCTTGTGTTCATCGTTTTTGACTGTGGTTCAGAACCTTCCTGGGGAGTCCAACCTTTATACCCAGGTTGCTCTTAGGTCTAGTAAACTCGAAACGGGGCTTGATTCCCAAACCGACACACAGGAGTGGCTCACTTCCACCCCTCTTTAGGGTTTAGGGTTGAGGGTCTAGAGTGTAGGGTTGAGGGTTCAGGGTAGGGCTTCGGGCAAAGAACAACAAACCTAAAAGCTCTGTAGCCGAAATCTCTGAAATAGGGTCTTAGGGTTACATGGTCGTTTAGTGTGGACCGTTAAACGGGGACCCCTCGCATCTTATATCCTCCTGATATACCCTATAGTTACAACCCAAGGGCCAATACTTCAGAACCCTTTAAAGGAGGTAATGGACCATATGACCATATTAATTAAAGGCCCCTATAACTGCCCTGAGATAAGGTCATATTGACGTCTCTGTGGCTCCTCACTATCCTAAGTCGACGCCCTGTGAGAGAGGATGGGAAGACCCGCACAATCTGTGGAACTTCTGCGGGGGCCCGATTTCAGACCTCGGGCTTGCGGGTTTAGGGTTTAGGGTCGAGTCTAGATATTCCCTAAAGCCTAAATCCTAAACCCAAAAGCTTAAACCCTAAATCTTAGGCTCAAAGCAGCTCCCCGAAGACCTTATGTCATGTGGTCTTCGGGCCCACCAAGCTGTAGACCCTAAGGCCTTAAGCCTGAAGATCTTGAAGTTTAGGGTTTAGGGTTTAGGGTTTAGGGTTTAGGGTTTAGGGTTTAGGGTTTAGGGTTTAGGGTTCAGGGTTCAGGGTTTAGGGGAATCTTAAAGGCCCACCACTGACACCCTAAAGTGTCCGGCCCCAAGGCTCGAACACAAGAGCTACAGCCTCAATGAACCGCACAAGGGTTCAGTCTTCAGCGTTTTTGTTTTTGTTGGTTTTTAATTGGTCGTTTGGGGCTCTTGTTGGGCTTAGGGTTGAGCGTTTGGCGTTGAGCCTGAGCCCTCAACCCCCCCCCCCCCCCCCCTCCCAGTCCCGAACCCTAAGCCCTATAAACCTTAAGCCCTCAACCCTGAATCCTAAACCCACGGACTGCAACCTCAGCAACTAAAGCCCGAAGACTCCGAAGCCACCATGAGTCCTAAAGGCCCCTAATCCCCCTAAAGTTTGCGAACCCCGCAAAAATGCTCTGTTTGATTACGTCTAGGGCCAAGGGTTTGGGTTCAGGGTTTGAGGTTTAGGGTTTAGGATTTAGGGTTTAGGGTTTAGGATTTAGGGTCTAGGGCTTAGCCCTTAAAGACTGCTCCAGGGATGTTCTCTCCTTTAGGCGAAGCCACCTGGGCCCCACAAGCCCCCGACAAGCCCTAAACCCACGATCCCCGCCTTACGCCAAATGCCAGAAGCCCTAAACCCCAACAAAACCCCAAGAGCCCTAAACCCTAAACCCTAAACCCTAACCCCAAATCTTGCAACCCCAAATGCGTCCAAGGAATACATGGCTCCTGAGATCGTGCGGAAAGTCGAGTACGGCTTGATGGTAGACTGGTCCGGGTCCCAATGTGTTAGCTTCAGGGTTTGAGGGAAAGAGGTTTGGGGGTTTAGGGTTTAGGGCTTAGGGTTTAGGGTTTAGGATTTAGGGTTTAGGATTTTAGGATTTTTCAGGTTGAGGGAAAGGGTGAGGGTTCAGGGTTTACATAGGGTATTTAGGGGGTGTCTCATCGAGGGAGAGCTCCCCGGTTCTGAAAGGCACCCCCTGCCTGCGCTCCACCTTCGCCTCTTGACACTTGACCTTTTCATAAGCTTCGAAGTCCCTTGCAAGCCCTAAACCCTAAACCCTAAGCCCTAAACCCTAAACCCTGAACCCTGAACCCTGAACCCTAAACCCTAACGACTTGAAAGGTGGTCCACAGGGGTGCTCACCTACGAGGTGATCAACGGCCAGTCGCCTTTCAATGCCCCAGAGGACCCGTAGCAGCAGGAGATTTAGGCAGTTTATTTAGGGTTTTAGGGTTTTAGAGTTTAGGGTTTAGGGTTTAGGGTTTAGGAGGTTTAGGAGGTTTTGGGAGGAGGACACCAGCGACGACTTGCCCTAAACACTAAACCCGAAACCCTAAACCCTAAACCCTGGGCCCTAGCGCGCAGTAGCCCTTAAGTCAGGAGGCGACGGTGCTATCCCTGGTTGTTGCCGCGCGTGTGACCTTCTCGGCCGCGGGGCGCCCCAGATGAGGGTTTGGGGTTATAGGGTCTAGGGTTTTGGGTTTAGGGTCTGGGGTTTTCAGGGTTTAGGGTTAAGGGTGCAAGGTGAAGGGACCAAATTTACGCTTTCGGCTTCGACCTTAAATTGTGGGTTTCGGGTTCGACCTGATCTTGGGATTTTCGATTTTGGCGTTTTGGGCTTAGCCTCAATTTGGGGTGCAGGGTTCTTCGGGCTTACCCTAAACCCGAAACCCTAAACCCTGAACCCTAGACCCTAGACCCTAGACCCTAAACCCTAAACCCTGAACCCTGAACCATGCTGAAGAGTTCTTTGAGCCTCCCGTAAAACACTCCCAAACCCTAAACCCCTAGCACCCCTTTCATCCGAAACTCTAAGACCTCTAAACCCAAAACCCCCTGTGTAAGGCGTCTGTGCACTGAACCTTATGCCCCAGACCTTAAGCCGTGCCTAGACCCTAAACCCTTAAACCCTTAAACCCTAAACCCTAAACCCTAAACCATAAACCTAAACCCTATAAACCCTAAACCCTTGCATCATGAGTCACAACGGCAAGAGAACTTTGAGTGGGGCCGACCGGATCACTCTAGAAAGGCCGGGTGGCTTGAGTCTCACAGCTTAGGGTTTCAGGGTTTAGGCTCTGTAGGGTTTAGGGTTTGGGGTTTGGGGGTTTAGGATTTAGGGTTTAGGGTTTAGGGTCCCTCTTGACAGTTCCTGGGTAGAGAAAGGCAGGATTTTTGGGTTTGCAGAACGTAGGGCTTAGTGTTGAAGGGGCTGAAGAGAGCCTACTTTCAGGCTCATGCGTTGTCATACGCCGTGCCTCACGAGTCGAAAAGAAGGTTCAGAAGTTAAAGTGCTAGTTATAGCTACCTTGAACCCCAGATAACTA